GGGGGGGCTTGGCCCACTCCCCTGTCTCCCGCTCTGGGTCCTGCAGCCGTCACCTCCGCAGAAAAATTGGGATTCATGAAGCACGGGCAGTTGGGAGAGCCGGGTGGCTCCAGCGCTCCAGGGTCACCTCCTGCCTTCCTGGCCCTGGGCTGGATGGCTCCAGGCGGTGGGCAGGGCTCATGCTAAGGCAAGCAATGCCGCTGATCCCCCGCCCACCCCCGGTCGCACACAGGAGTGGGCCCCCTGTTTCTGGTAGGCTGGCAAAGTGATCGGCACCGCTTGCCTTGGCCGCAGCCAACCCCCGCCCCCGCCCCCCATGGCACACAGGGGCCTGGATGGCGGCTTGCGCTGTCCTACCCTGCCTTCAGTATGCAAATTAGCCGCCATCTTTGTTAGGGGTTAACCGCCATCTTAGTTGGCAGTTAATTTGCATATCGCCCTGATTAGCCAAGGGGAAGGGTATTGGTTGTATGCCAATTACCATGTTTCTCTTTTATTAGATAGGATAGATTACTCCAATTACAAGCCAGGCCCTGGAAAAGGTGTACCCACTAAAGTTTGCTGACTGAGCCAACTTTCTGTCCCATCTGCTCTCTCCTTACTTTTCTCAGGGCAGATCCTCCCCTCCCCATGAACCAAAAGGTGAGGACTAATGATAAATTATTAAGTCAAGAACCAAGACCTGGAAAAATGATCAGATTTGTGGAGAGGGGTTTGTCTGCAGTGGTGATTGCTCACAGACACCACTTGAGGAGAATGTTAATACCACTTGAAGTCCAGACCTCACCCCAGTAAGATTTTGCAATTTTAACAGGCTCCTGTGCTCATTCTGATGCAGGTGGATTCAGAGAAACATCTGGTTGGGAAGATTGGAGAGAGAGTGGGGTCTGTGACCACTTACCTTTGCTTCTCCTACACCTGAGGTAGACTGCCAATCCCAAAATTGCGATTATGAGCACGGCACCCGCCAGTGCCACCCCAACTATCGCTCCTAGAGTCAGGGGCCTAGACCCTGATGTCCATTTGTCCCCCGAGACACTGAGGCCATCTGTGGTGGTGGTGGTGGTGGTGGTGCTGGTGGGGTCCTTGGTGGTTTTCTCGGTGGCTGAGAAGACATGAGAAACAAGCAAATTCTTCCTTAGAGGACTGGAAGTATCTGGGTGAAACTGTCACATCCTGTTCCCTAGTTTGGGGAACACTGGGGGTAGGGAGCAACCCTCTGAAGCTCTCACACCAGGGGAGGAGTAACAAGGTGAAATGCTGAAGGCTTATCACATACATCATTCAGTTCAAATCCTGAATCTACCACCGATTAGTGGTGTGACCTCAGAACCTCATTTCATCACCTACAAATAGAGATAACTAGATCACAGGATTAAAAAAAAAATTATTGTGGCAAAAGACACTATAAAATTTACCATTTTAACCATATTTTAAAAAATATTTTTTATTGATTTTACAGAGAGGAAGGGAGAGGGATAGAGAGTTAGAAACATCGATCAGCTGCCTCCTGCCTGCCCCCTACTGGGAATCGAGCCCACAACCAAGATACATTCCCTTGACTGAAATTGAACCGGGACCTTTCAGCCCACAGGCCGATGCTCTATCCACTGAGCCAAACTGGTTATAGCACCATTTTAACCATATTTAAGTGTACAGTTGAGTGGCAGTAAGTACATTCACATTGTTGTGCAGCTCTCACCATCAGCCATCTCCAGATCTTTGTCATCTTCCCAAACTGAAAATCTGTCCCCATTAAACAACTTCTCATTACCCTCATCCCAGCCCTGGCACCCACCATTCTACTGTCTGCGTCTATGAATTTGACTACTCTAGATGCCTCATATAAGTAGAATCGAAGAGTATTGCCTTCTGCAGGATTGTTTTAATAAGTGAGAAAACATCTGTAGAACACTAGTATATACTAGAACTATGTTTTAAAAGTTACATTAATATATATTGAACTTTAGTTTCTACAAACAGATTGTACCTTTGTAGATGTTTAATGTACCATTAAAAAACTGATATAGTACTAAGCCACAGAAAAAATCTAACTCTAATAAAATCTTTAGTTTAGCATGGATCAAACTCTCTGGCTACTCTTGCTAGAAAATAATACAGGAGATACGGAGAAGGTGCAGGAAGAATAAAACCAAGTCTGTTTGTGTAATTCAGGTTGTGAGCCACTTTATAAATGATCTAAAACCAGCTCGTGGCCAAGACAGGGCAGTGGATTTTCCCAGGCTGGGAGGAGTGATTCATCACTGACATAGTCAAAGTTGCCAGCACAAGTGATTATAAAAAGTAAATCGAGCCCAGCCGGGTGTGGCTCGGTGGTTAGCATCAACCCAGGAACCAAGAGGTCACCAGTTCAGTTCCCGGTCCAGGCCTATGCCCGGGTTGCGGGCTCGATCCCAGTGTGGGGCATGCAGGAGGCAGCCAATCAATGATTCTCTCTCATCATTGATGTTTCTATCTCTCTCTCCTCCCTTCCTCTCTGAAATCAATAAAAAGATATATTTTGTAAAAAAGTAAATCAGCTAACCATGCACCCCTTTATGCTGGGGCCTGGGAGAGAGCCCCTCCCCCACTAACCTGGAGACAGATAAGCCACACCTTCCCACCTTCAACTTCCCCCAACCCAGTGAGTAATATAGGAAGATCTATTAATACAGCACACCCCATAGTAGGTTAAAATAGGTCAAGACAACAAGATGACCAAGTGAGACTGAGTGGCCAATGGTTAAGAGAGGAGGCTCTGGGTTAAACTGGGTTCAAATTCCACCTGCACCATGAAGGTGACTTTGTGTAGGTGTAAGCCTCAGTTTCCCCATCTGGAACAGGAAGGTGATTGTGGTTCCTACTATAATTGCAGGGTCGTGGTGCAGGGTAACTAGGGCGATGCATGCCAAAGTGTTCAGCTGGGACAAGGGCACATAGCCGGGAGCTGCCTTGTTGCTGATGCAGAGGGGCCTCTGACGACCAGGACAGAGAGAGAAGGGGCCAACACAGGGCTTTGTGTGGTGGGAGTGAGGACTTAGGGGTGTTGCTGTGAGAAACAAAAAGAATTCAGAGGGCCCTGACCGGTTTGGCTCAGTGGATAGAGCATCGGCCTGCGGACTGGAGGGTCCTGGGTTTGGTTCCAGTCAAGGGCATGTGCCTTGGTTGCGGGCGCATCCCCGGAGGGAGGTGTGCAGGAGGCAGCTGATGGATGTTTCTAACTCTCTATTTCTCTCCCTTCCTCTCTGTAAAATTCAATAAAATATATTTAAAAAAAAGAATTCAGAGGATGAAGATGGGAAGAGGGAGATGGGGAAGGAAAGGAAAGAGATGGAATTGGGGAAGGAGCATTGAGGGCCATGTTCTGGGGAGCAGAGTGAGAAAAGGAAGCAGAGAAATTGGGACAACAGGTGCTGGGGTGTTACCAGGGGTGGAGGGAGGGGTGGGAATTCCTTGGGCCGCTATTGGGTCCCTCCTGTGTGTGTCAGGCTGAGCTCATGGCTGTGGGGGGACACAGACGTGGGGCTAGCTGGGGCTCCACCTACAGACACAGGACAAAGGAAAGCCAGGCCACATCCTGTAAAAGTCAAGTCCGCCTGGAGGACATGGGGTGAAGGCAGGAGGCAGGGCTGTAGCCCCAACTTGGAGCAAGAAGGAGGATAACCGGGGAGCCTGGGAGGTCTGAAGTCTGGGGATGGCGGTGGGGCTGGATCTACAGGGCAGTGAGGGAGGGGCAAGGAAGGCAGCCCACGTTTGGGGAGATTACGGTGAAAAAGGTAAAGTTGGCAGAGGCTGGGAAGCAGTCAGGGGCAGGGAGAGGCGTTTGAGAGAAAGTCAGGAAGAGAGGCGCCTGGACCGGTCCCAGTGGCCGGGGCAGCAGGACTCACCTCTGGTGATGGTGAGTTTGGTCCCGGGGATGGACTGCCACCCTTTCTCGCCTTTGTTCCGTGTGGTCAACTGGACTCGGCAGAAGTAGCTACGTCCATCCTCTCTCCGCAGGTTGGAGATCCGGAGGGAGCCGTTCCTCTGGCCCTTTGCCCAGTTCAGGGAGAGGCGGTTTTTAAAAGCCTTATGGGTGAACGGCGGGGTTGTGTTGTATATGAACTCTCCATGGAAATTTCTCCATCTCCAGGATATACGCACGTTGGGGTCACGGGCTAACTCCCAGGGGTAACAGAAGGAGAAGGGGATGTCGATGGAGCCACCCTCAGGGGCTGAGAGGTGCTCTGGTTGTTTGACGTCAAAATCAAGGTTTGAAGTGCATTTTGCTGAGCCACCTGGAGGAGGGAGGGAGAGGGAGGGACTTTGAAGCCACTTGGAGGGACCGAGAAGATAACCCCGGACCATTGGACACCCTCACCTACGGGCGGAAGTGTGGCAGGTAATAGGACTGGCCCTCTGGCTGGGCGTCCCCTCTCCAGGCGGGTAGAAAGGAGGGTGAGGGATAGGGGGGGACCCAGCACTGTGGGACCAGCCCAGCCCACTGCTTGTGGCAGGTGGGAAGCCTGGCTGGCCACAGCCCCTCCCTGGGGCTCCCCCGGGGCCCTGGTCAGAGCCAGGGGGTCCTGGCCACTCACCAGCCTGCAGAGCTGCTGGCGGCAGCAGGGGCAGCAGCAGGGGCAGCAGCAGGGGCAGGCCCATCGCCTCGCTCTCCTCGCTCTCCTCGGAGGATGAGAGAACAAGCAGAGCCTCTAGGCCAGAGGGGAGGCTCTGTGGAGGGGCTGCCTCAGGCTAATCTGACCACCGGAGAGGCAGGACCAGGCTCCTTCCGAGGACTGGAGGGTGGGAGCCCTCCCCAAACATGCCTGCCCAGGATGGGCAGCACTTCCGTTTATAATCTGGCTTCTTCTTTTCTGATATTGCCAAAGAGCTTCCCCTGTGGTCAGTGACCAAGAGCCATGATCTCGGCCCCCCGGGCCCCATCTTCATGCTGATGAGTGTGGTCCTGACCAGGGCTGCCTGGGACCTCTCCTCCCACCTCAACGCCCTGTCTCTGCCAGGGGCTTTCCCATCTCCTTAGGAGCCAGTCCCGTCTCTGTCTCTCACTCGCTCTCCTTTTCTCTGCTGCTCTGAGTGCCTCTCAGCCTCTGTTTCTCTCATTGCAGGGGAGGGGCAGCAGCAGGACCAGCCCAGGCTCTTTCAAGGGAGGAAAGGCAGCCAGGAGTCTGTCCAGCTACAGCCCCTGGAACAGGAGGAGGGAGGCGCGAGATGCCCCCAGCCCCAGCCCCAGCCCCACCCCAGGTGCATCCAGCTGGCTCTTGGCCCCTCGCCCTCCCCTGTAGTTCACAGGCAGAAACAAGACCCACAGGCCCCATTCTGTTCCCTCTGCATCTCACACCCGCGCTGGGATAAGAGGTGAGTGTGGTCTGACACTTCCATCTCCCCAGAGAGTGGCTTTCTGGAGGCCATGCCTTTGCCCACAGAAATCAAGTGTGGATCTGCAGGGCCCTCTGTTCTCACCCTTCACATATGAGACAACCAAGGCTCAGAGAGGGTGTGCCCAAGTCTGTGACTCTCAGGTGATGGGTCCAGGACTGGAACTCCGCTCTTGGTGAGTCCACAGAGCCTTCTGGATGCTTCTACCTGGCTGCACCACAGTCTCTAGGCCTCAGCACCAGAGTGCAGAGCTCTGGGGTGAGCCGCAGGAGGCTGTATTTTTATAATGCTCCTTAGATGGTCCCATCCACCGCTGTGGGAGCACTGGCTAATCCAGAGTCTTCCCTGGACAGAGGGGCTTAAGGCTCAGAGCAGTAATGGGTCACCCCAGGGACAGTCCTGGGACCTTCCCTACTGGAGGGCACTGCCCCCTGTGACGTGGTGAACATGGGTGAGACGTTGGGAACTGGGACCTTTGGTGACTCACAGGAGGCTCTGCCCATTGCCTCCCCAGACTGAGGTTGCCATCAACTTACTGAGTAGACTGTGGGAGTGGGTGGGCATGATTTCATCAGAGGAAGTGGCCTTGGCCTTTTGGAGATGGAAGCAGCAGACCAACTTCCTTTTCAATCCGTTTCTTCCCCAATCCTAACAGGTTTCTTCTCCATTTCTCCCACAGCCGGCCAGGCAGCCCCCACCTCTCTCTGTGTCTGTTTTTCACCCCCTTCCTGCTAGGCCTGAGAAGAGAGGTTTCAAATTTTTATGGAAGTCTCTTATCTGACTCAGCCACAAAACATCCATTGCCTCATTTCAGCTTTACAGTATTCTGTGGTGGGTGTATTGTAATCTCCATTTTACAGTTGAGAAGGGAAGTTGAGGCACAGAGCTTAATGTCATTCAGTCCTCGGGCTGTGAAAGACGCTTGGGTGGCCTGGCCAGCGTGGCTCTGTGGTTGAGCATTGACCTTTGAACCAGGAGGTTTTGGTTTGATTCCCAGTCAGGGCACATGCCTAGGTTGCTGGCTGAATCCCCAATGTGGGGCATGCAGGAGGCAGCCGATCAATGATTCTCTCTCATCACTGATGTTTCTATCTCTCTCTCCCTCTCCTTTTCTCTCTGAATTCAATAAAAATATATTAAAAAAACAAAATCTCAATTTAAAAATTGAGCTAAATATTTGAATAGATATTTTGTCAAAGCAGATATATGGGTAACTAATAAGCATGAGAAGATGTGTAATATCATTAGTCACTGGGGAAATGCAAGTGACTGCCACAACGAGGTGTCATTAAACATCTATTAAATGACTAACATTAAAAGATTGACCAGACTGCCTGTCAGCAAAAATGTGGAGCAACTGGAGCTCTCAGACACCACAGGGGATGTGAAATGGCACAAGCACTTTGGCCGTGACCTTGTCATACACTCACAGGTATCGCAGTGCTGACCAGCTACGCCAGCAGCGCCTGGGAGCTTGTAAGACATGCTAATTCTCAGGTCCCACCTTGACCGCTGAAGTTGAGGACCACTGCTCTCGGAGTGTGATCGAGGGCCTGCCTTGTGTGTCCCTTTAATTTTCACAGCAGTTCTGTGAGATGCAGGACTTTATGCTCACCTTACAGAGAAAGAAACACAGACTCCAAGAGTTACCTCACTCCAATTTCCTCTATTCCTCTGGAGTTTGAACCACCCTCAGGTCTCTGTGCCTAGTGAGCTAGATGCTTAACCGAATGATTGCTCCCAGACCCCTCACAGTCTAACCTCCCTCCCTCTCCTCCCACAGCCTTTCACAGAGAAAGTGGTTCATCTGGGCCTCATTCAGCTGCTACTCATCAAGGTGTGGGGAAGCAAAGGAGAGGGATGCGGTCCCTGAGGTGGGGCAGGCCGCGGAGCCATGGCAGTGACAAGCCTTCTCTGAAGGACAGGAAAGGAGAGCCTAGGGGCAAAGTCTTGGTCCCTGGCCTTCCTCATAGACTGTGCCCTCTGCCGACATCCCCCTCTTTACTTCATCCTGTTTTCCATCAGGGCAGGGGACGCGGAGAGGGTTCGTCCTGGCCCTGGGTGCGCGCAAGCCTGCAGTGAGCCCCCCAGGAATTAGTGTCCAGCTGGGAAGGGAAGACTTGCCATGTGAAACAAGTAGAGGGAGGCCCAGACCCCACCAACTTAGAGCCGAAACAGGCAAGGATGACCCTCCCACTTTCTGGGTGCTGGGAGCTTTGCGATTGTATATATTAAAGATGTTTTCTTATTCGCTATATCCTATTTTTTAAATGTTTCTTTTATATTTTTAAATTTATTTTTGAAAGTCCCCTTTGTTTTTTTGTCCCCCGCCCCCATAGGCCCCCCTCCTCCCCACACCTTCCTTAGCCTTTGCCACACTATTGTCTGTGTCTATGGGCTATGCATATATGCATATAAATTCCCTGGTTAATCTCTCCTCTCCAACCCCCACCCCCATTTTCCCTCTGAAATTCATCAGTCTGTTGATGGTTCTATGTCTCTGGATCTATTTTCTTCATTAGTTTATTTTATTCATTAGATTCCACATAGGAGTGAGATCATGTGATACTTATCTTTCTCCTACCAGCAATACATTAAAAAGATCATACCCCATGATCTTTATTTATCCCGGGGAGGCAAGGCTGGTACAATATTCACAAATCAACAAATGTGATACATCACATAAACAAATTCGCAGACAAAAATCACATGATCATATCAATTGATGTAGAAAAACATTTGACGAAATCCAACACCCTTTTTTGATAAAAACTCTCAGCAAAGTGGGAATAGAGGGATCATACCGCAACATAATAAAGGCCATATATGCCAAACCTACAGCCAACATCATACTCAATGGGCAAAAACTAAAACCAGTTCCCCTGAGAACAAAAGTGGTTTTCTTTGTTGTTTTTTAAAAATATGTTTTTATTGATTTCAGAGAGGAAGGGAGAGGGAGAGAGAGATAGAAACATCAATGATAAGAGAGAATCATTGTTGGGTTGCCTCCTGCATGCCCCACACTGGGAATCGAGCCTGCAAACCGGGCATGTGCCCTGACCAGGAATCGAATTGTGACCTCCAGGTTCAAAGGTCGATGCTCAACCAGCCGGGCTATTTGCTGTATTCCTGATGCTCTGACATCCAGGGCCTCACTGAGCAGAAAGAGATTGCTCCTCCCAGGGCTACCTAATTCTCAGACATAGCAATGGACTTGCCCAGGAGCATGCCTTTCATATGCAAGCCTACCAGTCCAGAGCTCAGACTTCCATCCACCTCCTCTATCTGGCTCTTGGGCTCCTGGAGGCTAATATTCGTCTGCTTTAGTCGCCCATGGCCAACCGGATACCAGGCAACGCGGGACAGCCCTAATCCCCAGAGCCTGCAGAAAGTATTCAAACTGGCCACTCCTAACCCTGACCACCCTGCCTCGTCTTCCCTTTCTCACGGAAACGACAACAAAGCCTGCTGTCCATGCTTCCCCCGGCTCCCTCTGCCTCCTGACCAACCCTGGTGCCCAGGCCGTGGATTGGTGGTCCAATGTATAGTCCATATAAGGTACATGGTTAGTCACACAGGTATTTCTGGGCTGCAGGTTACGTCATACTCCGCCCACCAGTTGGGGGAAGGGAGGATCTATCAATTTTCAAATAACACAACTCTCCCAGCAGCCTCGGGAGCTAGGCAGGGTCTAGACCAGTGGTTCTCAACCTTCTGGCCCTTTAAATGCAGTTCCTCACGTTTTCGTTGCTACTTCATAACTGTAATGTTGCTACTGTTATGAATCATAATGTAAATATCTGATATGCAGGATGGTCTTAGGCAACCCCTGTGAAAGGGGTCTAGCAGGACCAAAGGGGTTGCAACCCACAGGTTGAGAACCGCTGGTCTAGACGTTAATGGTCCTCGTTTACACAGGAGGAAACGGAGGTCCTGAGTGAAATTATGAATCTCAACTGAGGCCACATGGCCTGTAATTGTCTGCTGTGGTGCTGGGGCTGAGCCCAGAGTCCACGTTCTCCACTGCTTTCCCACCAGTGACGGGAGTCATCTGGGCCATAAAACAACCAAAGGTTCCTGTGTTGTATTCCTGCCACACAGAGAAGATGTTTGAGGACTGCCTGGGGTACGGCTCACGGAGCTTTGGGTCCTTGTCACCTGGCACAGTGTGTGGGGCACTCATGCTGACCAATGTGTATGGGAGGAATGGAGAGGTTTTCAAAGGGTGGGCATCAGGTGATAGTGATCCATGCAGCTTTCCAGGCAGCGGGCAGTGCTTTCTGTCCTCACGCAGACCCTATAAGGGAGATGCTGTTATTATGTCCGCTTTACAGATGAGAACACAGGCCAGGGAAGGCAAGCCATTCGCTCCAGCTGTCTGACTCAGAGCCCGCCATCTGTAGTTTCTGCCTCTATCATAGTCAAACGTTTCCTTTGTCATGTGACTGAGACTTTCTCACATTTCAGCCTCCTTCTCCTGCCACGGGGCTGCATTTCAGCTCTAGTTCAGTCCGACAAATGCGGATTGAGGTTCTAGGAGGTGAGATCAGAGGGCTGAGAACCAGCAAGCAAAGGGTGACTCCTGACTTTGCTGAGCTCCCAGACTGGGAGAGGAGGAGACTCACAAAGAAGGGAACAGGAGATCGCTGTCTCCCTCCCTCTC